ATGAATGTAACTGTACTGTCTACCTAGAATGTACCAATAAATTAAATTTAAATTTAAAAAAAATAATTCCCCATTCTTTGAAAAAAGTCATTCTTTAAAAAGAAAATGATGCAGTTTGTAAACCACTCCAGGTTTTCTGTATTTTCACAAAATGTTAATCACATTTAAAAATATTTAGTTATACCATGGCTTGATAATGTGATACAGTACATTGAAAACTAGTTCTAGTAAACATTTAGTAGGAATTGAACCAATTCTAATATAAGTATATTTTCCAGTTTCAGGAGTGAAAATTGTGGGGGAAAAATGTGTAGGATAATGGGCAGTCATGTGGGCACAGAGGGCCATTTCTGTTAAGTCAAGTTTGGGAGTTCAGAAAATCAAATCTTCATAAAAGAGACAAAAGTGAAATATAAATTTAATAGAATTTAAGCAGAAGACAATTTGGTAAGTATTATTGATGATCATGTATTAAGTACTGCTCATAAGACAGGTTCTTTGTTATGTGCCAGGAATCACAGGAAGTGTTGGGTGTCAAGGAAAGAACACAGCCCTAGTTCCTCAGGTGGATGTTATAGTCAAATTACAGGGGTATTGAGAAGTGTTCATGGACTGAGGCCTGTACTAAAAATAGAGTAACTTTGTGGGAGTAAAGTATTTGGGGAGTAAGTAATGATAGATCTAATATGCTAAAAGACAACAATAGCATGGGTAAAATCCACTATCGAAGATATTCTTAAGGTATTGGACTGGGGATTTGGCTTGGTCGTTCCACTGTCTGCCTCGCAATCACAAGGTCCCAAGTTCAATCCCTGGCACCAAAAAAAAAAAAAAAATGATATTCTTAAGATGTAAAGACAAAAAATAGTGATATCTGGGAAGGTTTGGGGGGTTCAAAAATGATCAAGGTGAGTAGTTATTCATCTTCAGAGGCAAAATCAAAATTAGTAATTACATTTCAGGCCAGTAACTAAAATGTTTTCAGTTGTAACAGGCATGTTATGCAGTGTGACAAGCCTACTGTACTTCTTTAGATTGTATAATTAATAACCAAAGACTACATATGTAGTAATACCTTCTGTCATCTAGTGTCCACTTATGCTGAAAAGAAAGATATGCAGATGTTGTTCTCTCCACATTAGTTTGACTACAACTAGTCAAAGGTGTAGTGGCACCTGCAAACCCATTCGTTGAAAGATAGGCACATGGTACAGTATTAATGTTAAATAGTATTATTCATTTTTCTAGAAGTTGTAACTATAAGTCCATCAAAATCACAGACGGAAACAATCGGAAATAAATTTAATAAAAAGACATGGAAATAGAAGTATCTGACCTGATTATGTCTTTGGCTTTACACCCTATGTGTTTAAAATCAAAGTTAAGACGCAGCTCATCCAAAGGAAGATCCCATATTTTGCTTAGTTTCCCCATTTCATTGGGAAAGGATCTCAGTTCCACGTTGTAACTAACATCAAGAGAGGTCAGATTTTCAAGACAGCCAATCTCAGGAGGAATCTTAATGAAATAAAAAAGAGCAAAACCTGTTGATGGGAAGGAAAAATGTATACTGCCAGCAAACAAGACAGTAAGAAACAGGAAGAGCGTTTGCCATCAGCAAAATACACAACCTTTCAACAGTTTGAAAGATTTCCAAAGGCCTGCCATATGTTTTCAATATACACACTTAAAACAAGAAAAATATACATTTGAAGAATTTCCAACCCCAAACATTCTATGTGAAATTTATAGCTTAAGAAAATAAAAACAAATCTCCCTTTGTAATACACTTTATCTCTTCACAATTCTGAAAGTAAAGAAGCATTTAATAGTTATCCAAGTCAACAATTTATACTTTCATTCTGTTCTCTCATCCTGCCTATGTTGTTTAGTAAACTACAAGGGTCTAATTAATTACAAAATTACATGCAACTTAATGTTCTTATGATACAACTAAATGTTTATACTTTAGGTAGCAGTATAAGTGGCAAATGTGGCTTTTCTATTTCAAATTTTAAGCCATCTGATTAGTTTTACCACAAAAAAATATTTATTTGCTGGCACACAGAAAAAAAACCCTCACATGATCAGACTTAAGTTTTTGTGCTTCTATGGGAAATAGGCTTAAACTTGACAGAAAAAATAGGTTTTGAGATATGTGGATAGTCAGTTTCAAATTTATAACCAAAGGAATGATTCAAAGCAAAGGAAGCTAATTTATTTGGGTCAGGGGTAGCATAGCAGAAAAACGCAGAAAATTTAAGAATCTAGGAAAAAAAGTCAAAGGAAAAGCATATGGGCTCAGTGAATTTGAGAAATGGAGCATAGTTGACAGTCTCTTAGTAGAGCAGAGATACAGGGACACTATGACAAACGTATACCCTTATATATATTCGTAATTAGATATACATATGTTTTCATATAAATTTTCAAAAATACGGCACAGTTATTTCTTTCAGAAAGTAAACAATATTACTGTAGCCACTTACTACAATGTAAGAATGGATCTTATTCAAAAAGAAACAATAGCAAATAATAAATTTTACAGTGGTAATTTGCAATAGTGCAAATTATGAAGCATATTTGTTAGGTGGCAAGAACTTTATATAAATGAAGATGGCTTCTCACCTCTTTCAATTTATTATGAGAAAGATGCAGTTTCTCCACTCTAGACCACGTGCATGCTTTTTCACTCAAGTCCAAGATGCTGATCTGATTGTAGCTAAATAAGAGCTCTCTCAAGTTCAGAGACTTCCAGTTTGCAGGACCTGGCAGATGGTCAATATCATTGCTGCTCATATCTAAAGACCGTAGGCTAAAAACAACAAAACATCAACATGCAAACAATCTGAGTGTTTTCAAAATACATATAAGACACCATCAAAAATCATTTTACCTGAGTAAGAATAAGACGTAACTTCAGGACTAACATTATTTGCATATAAGTATGCATGTAAGTTTGTGTATATCTAGAAGTTTATTTGGGTTAGGAAAAAAGTATATTCCATTGCAAGGGTGACTTAAATGAATAAGGGCCATTAAAACAAAATTGATGCTACTGTATAGTAGGATGTGTACAGGTAACAAAACTGTACATTTTGGAAAAGGGTAGGAAAAAGATTTTGACTATTTTCACCAGAAGACAATGAGCACTGAGGAGATAGATATATTTACTTTCATTGAACATTACATAATCTATACATGTATCAAAGCATCACATAATATCCCATAAATATACACAATTTATATGTATCAGTTAAAGATCTCTTTAAAAGAAAGAAAAAACTGGGACCCATTTTCCTATTTCAGTGCATTACAACATCAATCTCAGAAGAAGGAAAAGGCCTAGTATTTTACAAATGTTTACAGTGCATTAAACATTATAATTCACAAATATAAAAATGGGCATTAAAATTCCTGCCTTCTATATAAGATTTACAAATATGTAGCACCAACTTGTCTTTTCAATACAATGATGTTCACTCATTACTGAGAGGATTCTGCAAAGGATGGGTTCCACAGGTAATTACTATAGTACATGGGCACACCTTCACCACTTGTCTCAGGGTGACAGTCAGACAGCATTGAACATGTTGCCTGGCATCTAACAGGCCCTCACTGCAAACTGATTTGCCTTCCTGCAGGAGGGCTACATAAGGTTTTCAGGAAACAGCAGGAAAAAAAGTCACACATGAGTGTACACATATAGAAACAACAGACACTTACTATGGTATATTTGGAATGCAAAAGGTTGCCTGGATTTCTACAACTACATACTGACCCTTTCACCCAGCATATTTAAAGCTTAATGAATTGATTCTAAGTGCACAAAGGACACTGTTGGCTAGACAAAAGTTCAGGTCTGCACAGCAACATCTGTGCTCTACTGTAAAATGTTTCTTGCTTTCCCTAATTTATCTTATGCAAATGCATGGAACACCTGAAAAGGAATTTGACAATATTAGAGATAAGACGTGTCTGTCTAAAAAGCAACTCAAAAAGCTAAGGATCAACTAGATTTTCCCAAAGTAGCACCTCTTTAGCTTGCCAGTATCAAGCCAGCTAACAGTATGCTCATTTTTAAAACAAAAACAATTAAAGTAATGCATACAATTGCTGAAAATATGCCTGACAATGGTGTCAAAGGTATGGTGCAATTAGAGACTCTGTAATATTTTTAGTTCTCATGAGGAAAAGCTCCCTTCCTTATGGCATGTTATCTCCTAGTCAGCATCATAAATATTTGGCTTTCAAACACGTTTTCAGGAATATATTATATTTAAAATATAAGAGTACATATGTTCAGTACACGCCTATATGTAAAGGGAGAGTGTCAAATTGAGCCAACCAGTGTTAAAAGAACTGACTGGGGGGAAGATGCTCATCTCTGATGAGATTAAAAACAGAAGATAATCGCAGTAACAATTTTATAGTATTTTCAGAAAGATTACAGAGATGATCCCCTGTTGAACAGTTAGAAGCACATGTGATGTAGGAACCAGCCAGGCTTAAAGAGCAGAGACACAAAGATAATTTGGAAGAGGAGGTACAGGGGACTTTTGCCTCTCCTGGACAAAAAGCCAAGAACTGACAGAGCTCCTCACTTTTATTAGATTTGCACAAAGACAAAGCTAGCAAGCGTGCGATCCAGGGTTCAGGAAAAGTTTATCAGTGTTCTCATGATCTGTAGGCTGCATTCACATGCGTATATTCTTCAATAAGACTTCAGCTGGAGATGTTTCTCTCCTTGACACTGGCTGATACTGGCATGCTAGTGAACAACCCAGTCTGAGGACAGCATGCTATCCCCTCCCAGTATCTCAAAGACAGTTCAATCAGGTCTCTGCCTTGCAGGCCTGGTTTCCCACAATCTGACACATTCTATAGGTAGGTGTGAGTTAACTGTTTTGTTTGTCTGGACTTCTATGCTTAGAATATAATTATCATTTGCCTGTATATCTATATATATATTTGCACATTGCTATGGCTTGTGTCCAGACGTCCCCTCAAAGACCCAGGTACTCATCAGTGAGGCTTTTCATTAAGTGGCTGGATCCAGAGTGTGTGGTGTTGCCATCAAGGGTGTGTGGTGTGGGTATCAAGGATTCAATGCTAAGATTAAGGGTGTGTGAGCTACCTGCCCTAAGGGTGGATAGCATGGAAATGATATAAGGGACAGAGAATCGTCGCTTGTCAGTTGCTTTTGCTCTCTTCTGCCTGCCATGAGTTATTTCTCCTCTGTGATGTCCCTCTGCCATGCCACACTGCCTTGGAGGCAGCCAATTATGGACTGAAACCTCTACAAACTGTGAGCTAAATAAACCTTTCCTCCTTTAACTTTGCATGTCAGGTATTTTGGCCCAGCAACAACAAAAGGTAACTATGACACACATGTATATTTGTAAATTCGATTTAAAATGTATGACGCAAGTAGAATAGTATTTACAATGGCAACACACTTGAGATCTAATTAATGTCTGAAGTTTTGGTTAAAAAGAAGCTCTTGACCCTGCCCCCTCAGTGCAGAGAAGTCCCCCCACACAGCCAGCCACTGATCTGAGCTCCAGATGTTGGAGCAGAAGTGATCAAGAAAAAGGGGGCCTCTCTGAGGCTCCTAGATGAAAATTGAAGTCCAAGGGAAAAGTGAAGAAAATCTCTGCAATAAAGGCATACCAAGCCATCATAGTTGATAAGTTGGTGTGATCGCCACCTCCCATTGGATCCTGGACTATCTTCAAAGGAAGGGCAACTGGAACCTGCTGCACAAACCTGCAGAGTTCAACCCAGCAGGAGGAAAGAGAGGCACACCAAGCCATCATAGTTGATAAGTTGGTGTGATCACCACCTCCCATTGGAACCTGGACTATCTTCAAAGGAAGAGCAGCTGGAACCTGCAGTAGAACCCTCCAGAGTTCAACCCAGCAGGAGGTGAGAGAGCTCAACTTGAGCCTTGCCACCAGAAATCAGCCTCAACCTCAGGAGACAGCGGCTGGCTTGCTGAGACAAATTAACCTAGATCTGCACACTCCTGCCCATACTTGCCATTGTGTCAACAGAGGCATACCCTGAAGGAGGACCTCTATTTCTACTTGTGTTTTTTATTCTCAAATTAATATTTTTATCTTATCTTTAATCATTTTCAACAATTGTCTTTTTCTTTTCTCAAATTTTTTCCTTTTTTAATCTTTTTAACTTCTTTTCTTTCTCTCTCTCATGATTTGCCACCTTGATCTTCATTTCTCTCCCTTTTTCCTATCCTAATTTGAATTTATTTTCTTCTTTTCCTTTTCTCCTCTTTTTTCTTATCTCAATTGCCATTAGTCTTAAAAGAAAGTGAATACAGTTTCTGGCCTGCCTATTGCTATTTGGCTATGTTTCTATTGCTATATTTTGCTATCTTTTGCAATATATTGCTATATTTCTGTTCTTCTGTTTGTTCTTTTGTCCTGTGTTCTCCTCTTCTCTTCAACAACTTCCTAGAGTTTGTGTGATCTTTCTGTGCCCTCTTGCTTCACTTCTAACCTTTCCCTACCTATCTATCCCTCCCTCCCCAAATCCTCCCAAGTCCCCATCCTGAAGGGTAAAGTTCCTATATTGAAGAATTTATTAACTATAAACATTTTGGGCTGGTCCTCAATTTTGATTTAATTCACATGGTTAAAAGTGATAAATTAGTAACTACCACAAATTATCATTTTCTAAGATGTGCTTAATGCTACTGTGTTGCTGATTGTATCACTTGGGCAAAGTGTTGTGATTGATCAAATCAGTTGTCCTTCCTGGTATTATGAAAATAAGAGTGTCTCAGAGTAATTAGAAACTCAATACCTAAAGACCAGCTATATCTGGAAGATGGAAGTATTAATCCAGGAATTAAACCAAGAATAGTACCAACAACAAAAACAGAAATGAGAAGACATTTAAGTAAGGCACAAACACAGACTTCCAGCTTTCCAAAGGCAAATTCTGGAGGAAACAAGGTAGAAAAGTCTGATGGTCAACCATCTGGACACACTGAACTGACAGCACAGGAAGTAACAAAACATACTGATGAGGTTCTAGAAAAACTAAAAACAGAAGTAATTTCCCAGTAACCACAAAGATAGTAAGCAGGATGAAAGACAAGATTAGAGACTTCAGAACAGAAAGTTTTTAAAAAACAGATGAGCTTAGGACCATGATGAAAAGCATAAATGCCCAGCACAGGAGAGAAATGGAAACCATGAAAACAAAATACAGAAAAGAAATGGAATCCATGAAACAGATTCAGATAGATTTCCAGGAGATTGAAAACTTTACTGAAAGTATTCCTAACAGAATGAGGCAATGTGAAGATGGAATATCATATATAGAAGCTAGGATTGTGGTCAGTGACCATGAAAGAGAGGTCTCTTAAAAAATAGTAAGGGACCATGAGAAATAGAACAGTTCCTAGATGATGCAAAGAAGAATAATATAAGATGGACAGGAATCCATAAAAAAGCAGGAGAAAGTACAACTGACACAAACTGTTCACAGTATTAATGACAGAAACCTTCCCAAACAGAAGGAAAGAATTTCACATACAGATAAGTGAGGCATAAAATCTAAACTCCAACATAAAATAAGCAAGATCCCAAAACCCAACAAAAGAACAAAATACTACAAGCAGTCAGAGAAAAGAAACAAATCACATGCAAAGGGCTGCCCATCAGAATCACGGCAGAAGTTTCAACACAAACCCTCAAGTCAAGGAGAGCCTGTAGTGAAGTATTTCAAGCCCTAAAAGAAAACAACCTCCAACCTAGACAAATGTATCCTACAAAACTATCTTTCAAAATTGATGGGGAAATAAGATACTCCCATGACTGAGAACACCTGAGAAATTTCATGAATACAAAACCAGCACTCCAAACAATTCTAAACAATATCCTGGAAAAAGACAATGAAGGTCACAATTCCATAAGGCCCAAAAGAGCAAATCCACAAAGCAAGACAAGAAATTAAAAGAAGGGGGAAAATTAAAAAATAAAAGAGCTGCCAATAGGAAAATAACATGACAATGATAAGTCAATACTTATCAGTCATAACCATCAATGTTAATGACCTCAATTCACTAATAAAAAGAAATAGACTGGCAAAATAGATAAAGAAGAAAAATCCAACAATATGCTGTATACAAGAAACCCACTTAATTCACAAAGAAATTTGTAGACTGAAAGTAAAAGGATGAAAAACAGCTCTCCATGCAACAGGAGCCCAGAAAAAAGTGGGGGTAGCTATCTTATTTGCAGATAAAGTAGATTCCAAACCAAAACTAATTAAGAGAGACAAAGAAGGCCACTACAGCCTTCTAAAAGGAACAATCCAAGAGGAAGAGACGATAATCATAAATATATATGCACCAAATTCTAATGCCCCCAACTTTACAAAACAAACATTAAGGGACATGAAAACCCAAATAAGCACTAATACAATTGTAGTGGGGGACCTCAATACACCACTCTCACAGATAGACAAATCATCCAGAACAAAAAAAAAAAAAAAAAAAAAACAAACAAAAACAAAACAAAATGGCAGAACTGAAGCAAGCCTTTGAACAAATGGACTTAATAGATTTCTACAGAATGTCTCACCCCACAAAATCAGAATATACTCATAGAACAAGTTTCAGAAAATGCAAAGGAACTAAAGTTATCTCCTGTATATTATCAGACTATAGTGCCATTAAACTGGAGATCAATAGCATAAGAAACCACAAGAACTTCACAAACACATGGAAATTGAGTAACACCTTCCTGAACAAACAATGGATCACAGTGGAAATTAAAGAAGAAATTAAACAATTTCTGCAATTAAATGATAATGCCAATATAACATACAGTAATCTATGGGACATAATGAAAGCAATTTTACTAGGGAAATACATAGCAGTAAATGCCCATACTAGGAAAACAGTGTGAGTTCAAGTAAACAACCTAAGGCTGAATTTTAAGCTCTGAGAAAAAGAAGAACAAGACAAACCCAAAGCTCATAAAAGGAAAGAAATTATAAAGATCAGAGCAGAATTCAATGCAATGGAGACTAAGAGAACAATACAAAAAAAAATCAATGAATCAGAGTTGGTTTTTCAAAAGAAGAAATAAAATTAATAAACCCTTAGCCAACCTTTAAAAAAAGGAAAGAAAAGGCTCAAATTTATGCAATTAGAATGGAAAAAGGTGGAGTCACAACAGATCCCGCAGAAATCCATAGGGTTGTCAATATCCACTTTGGGAAACTGTTCTCTAATAAAATGGAAAACATAGAAAAAATGGACATATTCCTAATACATACAAATTACAAAAGTTGAATGAAGAAGATATAAAAAGTCTCAACACCCTAATTACATTCAGTGAAACTGAAAATGTAATTAAAACATTACCAACAAAGAAAAGCCCAGGTCCTGATGGCTTCACTGCTGAAATCTACAAGACATTTAGAGAAGAACTACTGCCACTACTCTTTAAACTCTTCAATGAAATTGAAAGGGAAACAATACTTCCAACTTCATTCTTGGTAGCAAGAGTTACTCTGATTCCAAAATCAGGGAAAGACCCAACCAAAAAAGAGAACGAAGGACATACTCCCTAATGAACATAGATGCAAAAGTCCTCAATAAGATACTGGCAAACAGAATACACAGGGTCATCAAGAAGATCATACACCCTGACCAAGTTGGATTTACCCCAGGAATGCAAGGATGGTTTGACATATGTAAATCAAAAAATGTGCCAGGCATGGTGGTGCATGCCTGTAATCCCAGTACTCAGGAGGCTGAGGCAGGAGGATCACTGCAAGTTCAAGACCAGCCTAGGCTACACAGTGAGTTCCAAAGCAGTCTGAACTACATAGTGAGACCCTGTCTCAAAAAAATAAACAAACAAAAATGTAATACACTATATTAACAAAGTCAAGGACAGAAACCATATGATCATCTCAATAAATGCAGCAAATGAATTTGACAAAATTCAACATGCATTCATGATAAAAACTCTGCAGAAAAATGGAATAGATGGTCTTTATTTCAACCTGATATAGGCTATCTATGAAAAACCAACAGCCAACATCATGTTAAATGGTCAAAAATGGAAAACCTTCACACTAAAATCAGGAAGAAGACAAGGATGTCCATTATTACCACACTTGTGTAATATAGATCTGGAAACATTAGCCACAGCAATTAGACAAGACAAAGAAATAAAAGGAAGATAGGAAAGGAAGAAGTTAAACTGTCATTATTTGCTGCTGCTGATACTCTTCATAGAAGACCCAAAACCTCTGCCAAAAGACTTCTAGACTCAATTAACAGATTCAGTACAGTAGCAGGATACTAGGTCAACACTCAAAAGTCAATAGCCTTTTGGTACACAAATAACAGACTCACTGAGAGAGAAATTAGGGAAACATTTCTTTCACAATAGCATCCAAAAAAATGACATATCTAGGAATCAATCTAACAAAGGAGACAAAAAGATCTCTACACTGAAAACTACATCACTCTGAAAAAAGAGATTGAAGAGGACATAAGAAAATGGAAAGATATTCCTTCCTCCTGGGTAGGAAGAACCAACACAGTGAAACTGACCATACTTCCAAAACTGCTATACAGATTTAATGAAATCCTAACAGTATATTTCACAGAACTAGAGAAAACAATCCAAAATTACTTTGGAACCAGAAGAGATCTAGAATAACAAAAGTTATTCTAGGCAACAGAGACGTGATGGGGGTACAACAATAACCAACTTGAAACTATACTACAAAGCCATGTTTATAAAAACAACATGGTACTGGCAAAGACCCAGACCCGAGGATCAGTGGAATATATTACAAAATGTAGACAACTCCAGACATACTCAGCTACCTTGTCTTTAACAAAGGAAACATCCATCCTCACTGGAGAAAAGACAGCCTCTTCAATAAATGGTGTTGGAAAAAATGGATTTCAACCTGTCAAAGATTAAAACTAGCCCCTTATCTTTCACCATGCACTAAACTAAAATCCAAGTGGATGAGATTTAAGTATTAAAACAGAAACACTAAACTTGCTGGAAGATAAGCAGAACTCTCAAAGACATTGGCACAGGAAAAGACTTTATGAACAAATCCACAGTAGCACAGGAACTAGCACAAAGAATCAACAACTGGAATCTCATCCTATTAAAAAGCTTCTGCAGTGCAAGAGAAACCAACAGAGCTAAGAGACAACCTATAATGTGTGAAAAAAATGTTACCAGTTGTTCCTCAGATGAAGTCTATCATCTAGAATAAATAAAAAATAAATTTAAAAAACAGACCCCTCAAATATAAAGATCCTATTAAAAAACAGGCATTTGAAATGCACAGACATTTCTCAGACAAAGATGTAAGAACAGCAAGTAAATATATGCAAAAATATTCAACATCACTGGTCATTCGAAAGATGCAGATGAAAACAACACAGAGATTCCACCTCACCCCACAAAGCATGGCTGCTATCAAGAAATCAACCAATAACAAATGATGGCAGGGTTGTGGGGAGAAAGGAACCCTGTTCCATTGTTGGTGGGAGTGCAGACTGGTGCAACCACTGTGGAAAGCAGTATGGAGATAACTCAACTAACTAGGATTACAGGCCCCATTTGACCCAGCTATCCCTCTGCTGAGTATCTTTCCAAAAAAATTAAAAGAATCCTACCACAGCAACATAGGTATGCCCATATAGTGGCACAATAGCTAAAATCACAGCCCAGTTGCCCATCAACTGGAGACTGGATAAACAGGTGGCTTTTCTATAAAATCTGGTACTACTCAGACATAAAGAATGAGAAACTAGAGACATTTATAGCTAAATGGATGCACATTGAGGCCATACTCTTAAGTGAAATAAATAGGACACACATGTAAATACCAAATAGTTTCTCTGATGTGAAAAACTAAAAGCATAAATAAGGTTTAAATGCTATAATTGATAATGTGAAATAGAATAAAAAGGTCAAAGGAGTAGGGTAAGTATGAAGGGGAGGGGAAAAGAAATAAGAGAAAAAATATTTTAAAAAATGGAAACAAAGTTTTTGTAAGTAGATAAGGGGTGAAGAGCGTAAGAGGAGGACAGGGGTTTGGGGAAAAAATAAGAACAAAGATACATCATGTAAAGGTACAGGAGCCCAATGATGAATGTGACTGTACTGTTTACCTAAAAAGCACCAATAAACTCAATGGAAAAAAAAGAGGCTCTCATTTTCAACAAAATTAACCAAAAATTCTCCCAAATCTGAAATCATGTAAATTGTTCTGATCTTCCCCCAAAATGTCACTCAAACATAATTTGAATATGATTTCAAAACTAATAGTATTTTTGCAACATAACCTATGAGAAAAATTGAAATTTTAAAAATGACAGCCAGTGTAGTCTTATTTCATTAGAATAAGGCAGCAATTAATTACACAGCCTTAAGTTTTTTTTCTACACTTGTATAGTCCAACAAATTAATATAAATTTTGAACTTTATTCTTTAGTCTTGTGAAAACAAAACATTTATACATCTAAAAAAATTGAACTAAGTAGATTTAGAAATGAATTACACTTATATGCCTAAATCAAAACCATATCTGTAACTGTTCTATGCATCATGTGGTTTTAAATTTTAAATAACAATAAACTTACTGTGGTAGATTTAAAATTGCATCTGGAATACACGTAAATTTGTTTTGAGACAATTTTAGGCTTGTTATAGAAGAAGGCAAGAAAGGCATAGCAGCTAAAAGAAAATAAAAGTGCGTTAAAAATTTTAATCATTTTTAACTAGATTCCTATTAAATTCAATAAGAACAGCTACCAATGACATGTCTCTTGATCTAATTTTCATTTTCGTACTGATAGTATAAAAAAATCTATAAAATAATGTAAAATCCTTAAAACTTCCACTAAATGAAACCATACACCATACTCATCACAATTTCTCACTTAAACAACTGAATTTGAAACTGTAAGGTTATCAGATGACATAGTATAGATTAATTCAAATTACTCATAAGTAATTATAACAAAACACCTCTTAATACTTTAGCAATACACAATACAGTAAAAAGATGGATATTATTTATAGTATTATCTCATAAAGAGTGTTTTATGGAATTGTACCGGATGTAATCTAACAAAGGTATTCTTTGATCACGTGCTCTTATGAGACTGGGAAAAATTAAGTGAAATATCTCAGAATTCTCAATATCCTGATATCGTCTGTGAATTCTCAGGAGAGAAATACATTATGCGGTACTTTCAGTAATAAAATTCTGTAGAACATAATTTGGAGAACTGAGCAAGCCAGACGGCTCATCTTCTCATCTGGAAAACACTGCAGTTAGACCAGATGAGCTCTGATTCTCTCATCTAGATCTGCTTTATGCCTATAAATCTATAGTTCTGTGAAAAATGGCTTGGGATATTACTTTATAGCTCCAAGGTTAGACTATAGGTAAATTTTTCTAGAGAATCTCAAAAAAATCAAAATCTTCTAGGACACTGCAAGAAAGAAGCTGTCACTGACAAGCAGAAAGACAGACACATGCTTTGCCTTACTTACTTCCAAGATACATTTATGACAAAATAAATGAATAGAAATGATTCTCTGCCCAAGAATTAAGACTCCTGTGGTTCAGATGCTACATAAAAAAGTCATAATACCAAAAAATTTGAAACTTCATTTCGCATATAGGACTTGGGGCTGGGGAAGTAGTGGGGACCTAATGTCTTCGCACTGAGCTACAACTTCAACCCTTCTTAGATTTTTTATTTTGAGACCATGTCTCTCTCACTAAGTTTTAAGTTGCCCAGCCTGGGCTCAAACTTTCAATCCTCCTGCCTCTGCCTCCCAGGGTGCCAGAACTACAAGTGGGCGCCACCATGCCCAGCTTCACATGGGATTATATTTAATGGATAAGTAATCCCACTCAGATGTCCTCCATTGGGCATCCTTGGAAATATAAGTCCACTTCTCAAGCTATTAAGGCTGTACAGTACTGTTGCAGTTTGGATATTAATGTCCTCCAAAGGCCAACTTTGGAAGTTTGTTCCCCAGCTTGGAGCACTATGTAGAGATGATGGATCCTTTAGTAGATGAGTCCTGGTGGAAAGAAGTTAGATCCATGAGGGCATGACGTTAAGGAGATCTTATGATCTTAGCCCCTTCCTGTCTGTACCTTTCATCTCCCAGCCATCATAAGGTGAGCAGCTACCACCACTGCATGCTACTCCCCCTTTAACATGCTACTCTGCCACAGTCCAAAGCAAAAGCACATCTGAGCATGCACCATAATTCCTGAGACTATGAGACCAAATAAATGTTTCCTCTTTATAAATTGATAACCTCAGGTATTTTGCTACAATAAGGAAAAGCTGACTAGCATAACTGCAAAAAAGTTTTGAATTGAGGTCTGTCCAAGATTTTATAACTAGTTAATTAACTGCCCACCCTAGAACACATCACATAAAAATGTCAGTGCTTCAACTTCATCAGTTACTATCCTATGTGATTGTTGTGACATTACATATTGACCTTAACCAAGTCTGAGTCCTCAGACAACCTTCTCCCCAAACTCACCTTAAATATTACAGATACAGAAACATCACGTAACTCTAAAGTCTGAATCAGACCTCCATAAGGTTTTCTCACAGGATCCTGAAAGTTTTTCACAATATTCAGCCCAATATTCAGTTACCTTAATTTGTGCCACCATTATTTAATGTCTGTCTTCAGCATTTAACCATAGGCTCCTTAAAGACAGATATTAGACTTGCTTTGTTTACTACCAGTGAAAAACTCTATTCCCAGTTTCAGACTCAAGTTAAGAAAGAACACAGTGAACATTCAGGAGAGTCCCAGAAAATAAGGGAGAAAAAAGAAAGAAAATACTACACAAGTTAATATGGTTTTTATCTTTGTTACTTTCTGAGAGTTCTAACAATTAAAATATTTTAAATAGGTACTCAAGATCTATGTTGCTATTGATTGTAAGAATTATTTTTTACTGATCCAGGTACAGAATAACCATAAGAGATGCAAGGGGCACGTCATCTTTATTAAGATAAATTATGGGGGAGTTCCTGTTTATTGCCATAAATGCATCTGCCCCATACTATTAGATTGCTATGACTAACCAGCAATGAACATAATTCCCTGTGCTGACAGGCCAAGAGAAAAAAAGTTGGGTAGCCCAACTTTTAACAAAAATGATGATCATCTTATATGTCAGGCAAACAGGGATATTTTCATAGCTTACAATGCTGAGGGAATACATATTCAATTTACTAATTTGAAAATTGCTAAGCAATGAATTTTATTTTCAAAACCAATAATAACAGTAGCTGCAATTACAATCCAAAAAAAAATTGCTAAAGAAACGTTAATATGACACTCAGTATAAAGACACTTCACCCAACTCAGGCAGCCATGTACGTTTTTAATTTAAAGCATTCAAAGGAACCACCGTGTAATTACTACTTGTAGACCAAGCAACTGCTATTTTAGCCTATGACAATAGCAAAGTGCTAATTATTTTTAAATATGGGCATGTTTTAGAGACTTTGCAGAGTAGCTTTAGGTTTATAGACAAATTGGGTAAAGAGCACAGAGGTCCCCTTTATACTGTCGTCCACCCTTGCCCTACCACATTCCATACATTGTGCCCCGGTGTTAAAAACGTGTTCGAATCAAGGAGTCAGTGCTGACACATCATTATCGCCCACAGACTACAAGATTCGTTCCTGTGTTGTACACTTTATGGATCTTGACACATGTGCAACAGCATGTGCCCACCATGCAGGACCACACAGGGCAGTTTCAATGCTGTGAGAATGCTCTGTGTTCCACGTCTCCATCTTGCCCTGCTCCCTCACCCTTGACCACTGCCGATCTTTCTACTGTCCTCATCGCAGTGTCTTTGCCACAGCAAATAGCATAGAGTGTGGCCTTTTCACACCAGTTTCTCTCACTTCAATATGTAGAAGTATTTAAGTTTCTCTCAGTCTTTCAATAGCTCGACAGCTCATTTCTTTTTGTTGTCAACCTGCTGACCTTATTTTTGAAACTCCAACATAGTACTCAAACTAAAACATCTTCTTTCGACTCCCATCTGACTTTGTATGACTGGCTAGGAGACACAAAAGGCCTAGCAAAGAGGTCGGTACAAGACACTTACCAAGATAATTCATTTTGGCACTGAAACTCTCCACTTTTGGACAAGCCTCAAGAAAGTTCTCTGGTAGGGATGAAATGTGGTTTTTACTAAGGTTTAAAATCTTCAGTTCCTCCAGGCTCAAGGGAGAATATATCCCTGATATTTTATTGCTAGTCATAACAAAACAAAAATAAGAATTAAATGACATTAAATTCGTATGCTTTGAAGAAATCAAAATAATTCATGCTCAAACACATCCAAGCCAGCTTATTAACTTTAAAATTAGTTGTGAAAATTGGTTATTTGATAAAATTGCAATATTAACTGCCTCTGTCTTCTGTTACATTTTTGTTTGAAGGTCATTACCATAGGAAGTATTTGCCAACTCCAGGAAATTCAGTGTCGGGCAACCACGCTGCTTTCACAAATCCCACTCTCACCCTTCTAAAATGAGCTGCTCCAACTTCTCTACCACATCCGAGAGGTTCTCAGGGACAGAAGAGAGCTGATTATACGACAGGTTCAACTGCTTCAGGGTGGAACACCTCACCGAGGCATCTAAAACTATGGAGGGTCCGATGTTGTTCCGAGAGACATCAAGATTGGAGATACAGTTCATTTTCAACAAGTAAGAAGGAAATGATGCAAATTTGTTACTGTGCAAATCCAAGTGTGTCAAACACCTCAGAGTCTGAAAAGACAATATTTCAAAAGTCTAAAATGGAACATCTAAGAAACTTTAGCCAATACATCTGCTTTCTACATCTCGGATAACTGGAACCATCAAGAAATGTTTTGTTGGGCCAGGGATTTGGCTCAGTGATTCCACTACCTGCCTCACAAGTGTAAGGGCCCAAGTTTGATCCCTGGTACCAACAACAGAAGAAAAAAAAAATTGTTAAACTGAAAACCCAGGCCACAGCAGAATTCCAGTATACTCACTACCCAATCACCTCAGGTGTAGCATAAAGAAAACCAAAAAATACAACAGGCAAATGGTGAAAATCATTGTGTGAAAATAGGGTGAGTAGCCTAACTCAGCTCTTTCGTAAATTAGTTCTGTAAAGAGCATAATGAAAGCAAAATGTGCTTCAGTGAATATTTGAATTAATGCTTTGATGAAAAACAGCACAGTAATGATTTCGTGAATAAACAATATAATCTTGAGAATACAGTTTTTAAAATACTACCATCTAGAAATTAGTATATATTTTATCGCTTCTCGGCCTTTTGGCTAAGATCAAGTGTAGAAATTAGTATATATTTTAACACACATAAGACTTAACCATGCAAGTAGTCACCTATACAGTATTGCATATTTCATTTTAGAATGTCCCATTTTCAAGGACTTTGTATTTCTATCTCTAGCTTCTCTTTGTAAGAAATTTCTAATCTTACAATAGCAAATGTATTTACATATTATGTCAATTTTGAAAATCCTTGATATATTTGCTGTCAAAAGGCTGAAACGCTAGAAATAATTACATCTTTATGCTCCTTACATATCACTTCTTTATACATCACTATGTTTATCCTCACGAGGAATCCTGTATAAGTACCACACACTAACCGCTCATACACCTGGAGCTCCTCTCACAAGGAATTCTAGAGGTTGAAGTGATTATCAAACTCTAATGACTGCCTCAGTCCTTTCAAACTTCTGTTTTTTTTCCTTTCAAACTTCTTGCCTTTGTTTTTGATCCTACCACTTTATTCAGAAGGAAAGATCTCTTTTTTATTTTAATTACTTATTCCCCACATTGAATCAGGAAATCTTGTTTTTAAAAAAATGCACCTGAAATACATCATGCAGTAGTGAGACATTGTCATCCGATGATTTTAAAGTTGTTGTTTTTGTTTTAAAGAGAAAGGCCAGGTGTGGTGGTGCATGGAATTTCAGCCCTCAGAAGGCTAAGGCAGGAGGATCCCAGTGTGTTTGAGGCTAGCCCGGGCTACATAATGAGTTCAAAGCCAGTCTGAACCCTGTCTCCAAAAAAGAGACAGCAAGAAGGATCTGAGAAGATCCAGCCCCTGGATCCCTAACATATGTCATTAAGCTGAGACCTGGATGACTTGAAGGACTGCTGGACAGAGAGGTAGAGGAAAGGAGGACATAGTTTAGATATAGGGGTGGGCATGTGAGGGTCACTCTTTTTCCTTCTTTCTCTCGCGACAGATAAATAAACTTCAGGAAGAAGTATTTAAATATACTTAAAACCCATGCAGTTTCGTTATAAAAACATTTCAAAAGTATAAAAGAAATGCATTTGCAGTAAGAGTAGTTTATTTTTCAAGTAGGGATAATCCTTTATCAAACTGCATTCCAGTCCAGGAACTTAGTTTAATTATTTAATCCTCTGTATTAAAATCTTGTCATGGCATTGATTTTGGCTTTAAAGAACTATTATATAAAAATAATGACCAAAGTCAATATTCAGAGGAGTACCCAGTTAACAAACTATATTATATTTTAATTCTTAAAAAATAGGAACTTGTGCCAAAAACTCAACTCGGAGGGGTACTGGGGGGTCGACCTTGGGACCTTGTGCTTATGAAGCAGGCAGCAGAACCACTGAGCTAAATCCCTAGCCCCAAAAACTCAATTTTTAAGTTATATACAATTTTAAAACTCAAAAATCCCCCAAATCCAACTATGATCATATAGCCAAGTCCATATATTTTACAGATGACGTAATCAATGATGTCATAAAACAGGCAAAGTAACAAATACTTGTCATCCCGGGATGGACGGATAAGTTGAAACAGTACTACCACAACAGATCTAATTCTAGCCTGCCTAACGTAACTTAAACAGCGTTGAGTTACCTTACTAGAATTAGGAATTGTGGGCCTAACCAGTATGTAGCCTTGAGAGACTTCAACATGGACAGAGCCCCAAATTCCTTCTCAGTCAGGTCTCCCTCTCCACTGCCTACCCTCCAAGATGGCTCTGAACACCACAGACTGACACCTGTTTGGTGAAAACTGGAAGAACCAGGGGAATTATTGTCAAATGACACAAAAGTAGAGCCTGATCCCGAAAGTCATAACCAAGCCAGTTAAATATCGGTGCCATGCCAATGAGTAGTCAATATGTTCTAAGAGGTAGTAGCATGATGCATTCCACACTACATAACAAGTAGTATACACATCCTGAGGGTGAGTGGGATTTACTTCGCAGAGTTGCTGTGGGAAGGCCGTGAGTGCATTCTGGTGGAGCTCCAGCTTCTTGACGTGCTCCAGATGCCCACTTATGCAGCATTTCTGGCTCAGGGCATCAATATCTCTGAGATCATTGGCAGAAAGGTCTAGGGACGTAATGTATTCTCTCTCTGAAGCTATAGAAGAAACGCTGTCCGAATGCCTCACATGGGGTTGAAATTTTGATGACCCTTTTGTCAAGAGCAAACAAACAATAGAAATATAAGGAAACAGTATAAATGCACTTGTTAAAAGTTTACTGAACACCTACTGTGGGCAGCCTCTCTCCAAGCCACTAGAGGTGTAGCAGGAAAACAGACTCTGGAGCTTGCATTTCAGAGGCAGCAATGGACAGGCAATAAAAAATATTTGATTAGATGGTATAAAAAAATAAAAGAATTAGAAAATTCGATGAAGTGTGGCTTTAGTGGGACTATTATTTAGATTTCAGAAAACTCATAAAAAGTAAATGCTTAATGATATCCATAAAAGGTAAATTTTAAAATTTATAACTATATTTTATTTTTCTATAGCCTGTGAAGTCTTTAGGCAAGTATATATGATAGATATGTACACTGAAAATAGCACCAAGAAAATCTGAATAATCAGAGGAACTTCAACAGGTGATGTTTTCTTCCTAAGGTATCTATTTATTTATGATTACTTTCAAATACTTACTAAGTGAATCATCTGAAGACAACAGTTTTCTCTTTCGCCTCAGGAAATCCTCATGATCAAAACTAGGCCCCTATTAAACAAATGATGATGTTTATAATAAATTTGTTAGTGTTGAGTATTTGAAAACATTTTTACATAGAATCAGCCATGAAATTTTAATGGAAAAATGGCATTTATAATTATGGAAAAAATAACAAAGTGCAAACTAAAAGCCTAATAATGAAAGTAAAAGATTTTTATGCCAAAATGACCGACTACACATTTATTTCTCCTTTGTTTTTAATATTAGGAAACTGAAAAGCAGTGAGGTTGAGTCATTAAGCCATATCGATACAATTTCCTTCATAAATGAAACAATTTTTTTCTAATAGAGAATAATACAGACAAGAACCAGCATATAAGAAATACTGTGGCCTAATTTAACCTGTTCAGCTATAGTCATTCATTTTGACCATCTTAAGATCTAAAGTTAATATAAAAATAACCCTCATATTTTAATGCTAAATTATAATAAAAATACAATGGCTTCTACTTTTTGCAACCACGATTATCAAACATATAAATATGTCATAGTTCTTCCATAGTTGTTACATAGATACTAATGATTGCTAAAAAATTAAATTATTCTCAATATAAAACAATACATGTTCTTGATGAAAAATGAGAGTGTGATATTTCAGGTTCAGAGTCCTTCAGGCTCCTATCTGGTTTCCTAGAATCAGTTAAGATTTCCAACTAAAGTGTTCATGGGACCAAGCCACACAGACCTAGCCTGATCTCTGTAGATACAGCACTAGGACAAAAAGAAGGATTAAAGCATTCTAAAGCAGAACATAAATTCATACTCTGCATGCTAAAAAAATCTATAAATATAAGTTTATGTCTAATATGTTTTCTCACATATATTTTTTTCACACCAAAGAACTGCATACCAATCAGTCCCACCCTTGCTGCAAATTTTAGTTCTAAAAAGAGATGTCAGCAGCCCAACATACAACATAATCACAATCTAACTTACCAACGAACTGGAATGTCTGTGCAAATTTGGAGAACAACGCTGTAAAACAGGATCTCGGTAAAATTCTCCTACATTAACTGAATTTGATTTCTTTCTTGCAAAAAATGAACCTTCACTTCCTATTTTGAAATGACAAAATAATATGAAAGTGAGAAAGGAAAGCTGACTCAATCATAACGTGTTAGTATCACAGTTCAGTCATAGGAGATTAAATATACTTTTATTAATAGAAATTTCACAATCAATTCCCTTTGTGCATTCTTTAAAAGTGATAAACTGTCAGCTTTTCATTTTAAAATTAAACTACATTTTTCTTCCTCCATAAATATTTATTGAATGGCTGTCACAGACTAGACAATGAGTAAGTGCTAGATAATGACACACAGGAAAAAATAAATCCATGCCTCAAAGGAAATATTAGTCTTGTAGGAATAAGCCAAGGAAATCATGGTTGCACGTACTGTAGTAAATATGTATGTTTCCAAGAAACAGAGATAGTTTGTATACAAATCTGATTAGTTAATTCTTTTATTTGAACTTTCCTTATACATTTTGCAATTCTGCTATAAAAACTTTAAAATATTTAACATTCCATGACCTTGACTATAACACTATTTGAATTTCATATTTCATGGTCTCTTAAGTGATCACATTAAGCACAATAAGTTTAGTTGGCCTTAGTCTTTAAGTATTTTTTCTTACAGTATCGGAGATTAAACCTAGGGCCTCATATTAGGCAAACACTCCATTGTTGGGTTATGCCCTCAAACCTAGATGGCAATAACCATAGGAAAAATGGATGCAACTGGAAAATATAATAGTGAATGAAATAAATCAGACACATAAGCTTAAATACCACATAGTATCACTCATTAAAATGAGGCAAAATGTAAACAAAGAGAATAATAAAGAATGAATAGGCGAAAACAAGGGAATAGATATCTTGCAAATAGGAAAGATCTAGGAGACTGAGGGCAAGGGGAGAGAGGGAGGAAAGGGGGAAGTAAGTAGAATTAGATACACCATGTACAGGAGGATTCCAATAACCTCAATGAATGTAAACAATATATGCCATGAATATGAGATAAAGTCAATAGTATCAATAAGAATGAAAATAGGGAAAGGGGACTTAGAGGAGGAAGAAGGGAGATGGGCGGGAAGGGGAAAAGGATTTAAAAACAAAAGTGACTATTATATTACACCCCAAGGTGAATGTGAACTTCACACACTACAAACATATGCTAATAAAAAGATACTCCCCAAATACACATGTATTTAATCTATATAGTGTATTATACAAATTCTATATTGCATAATGCATCATATAAATAACAATATTATATCATTTAAATTCATTCTATATTAAATCTGTATAGATTTAATCCCAATAAAAGTCCTATTATAAAATTAGTTAATTCAAAATGTATATAAAAATGCAAAGAAGCTATAAGAGTGAGAACAATTTAGAAAAAGAACACCTGAGAACACTATCTAATTTCATGATACACTATTAAGCAAAACTAATTAAAACAGTGTGGTATTGACAAAAGATAAAGATATCAATAAATGGCACAGAGTAGGTAACGCTAAATAGAAATGTACTTATATGGCCATTTAAACTGAACAAAACTGCCACTGATTCAATGAAGAATTATAGTATTTTCAGGAATGATAGTGGAATACCCAGTCACATTGAAAAATAAGACAGTGATTCATAGACACCACACACAAAAAACAATTTCCAATCCATTATAGATCTACACATATAAGCTAGTATTTTAATATTTCTTGGAGGAAACAAGCAAAAATATTCATGCATGTAGGCTAGAAGACACTTTCTAAAAGGCAGTAGAAAAAGCTCAAACTATAAAACAAAAAGGTGAAAAACTGTATTTCATCAAAATGTAAAACCTCTGCCCTTTAAAAAGAATACCATTAAGAATATGAGAAAAACAAACCTATGACTGAGAGGAAATATTTGCAATAGGTATATCCATTATGACTTCTACCCAGATTATCAGAATATATACAGAACTCTTCAAATACAATAAGATGACAATACCATTAGGAGCAAAATATTTGAACAGCTATTTCACAAAGAAAATATGGAGATCTTTAAGAACATGAAAATATCCTGAATAGCATTTTTGTAAAGGCAAATGAATATTAAACTGAACTGAGTTGGAACAGTATCTCCACTAGCATGGCTAAAACTAAACTGGCCAACAATATCAGTCATTGAAAAGGAAACAGAATTCTCATGTATGGCTAGTGGGAATCTAACATTGTACAACCACTCTGGGAAACAGCCAGGCATAAAAGAGTATACAGTGTGTGATTCTATTTATATGAACCTGGAGAAAACATTAATTTAATTTTAATGACAGAAGGCAGATACGTGCTTGCCAGAGTGCAGGGACAGAATGTCATGGTCTGTGAAGAGGTATAAAGGAACTTCTATGCATGTTGCATAACTTGATAGTAGTGGTAACCAAACATTTATAAATGTCCAGAGCTAGTGAAAGTACCTACTTATAAGAATGCATTTTATTTTACCTAAAAACAATAAAGATGATTTATAAAAATTATTTAGGCTTGAAACATTTCACTTTGAGAAAACTTTGCTTTTCACTCCTTCAAATACCTTTATTCTATCACTCAACGTCTGTCACATTCAGAAAATAAAAAAGTCCTTCATTCCCATTCTTAACGAACTGCATTATAGGAAATATTCATCATAATCAGTGCCACCGTACATCTTGTTAATATCAATTTTGTAAAAAGTTGTCAAGTGAGTTATTAAAATTTTAATTTTTTTTAACCATAATCAAAGCCCAAAAGGATTTTATTCAGTGCCTCCTATGTGACACTTCGCCTACTTTTGAATTCTTACATCTAACCCTGCAAGGTTGGCAGGGCAACTTTTAGGAAGGCCAAGGAGCCACGGAAAGATGGAGTCAGAAACACCCCTTCTGTCTAAGCCGGTGTTCTCACTGCCAAGAGTCACCATTAACTGGTCAGTCTGGTACACTTGGAAGCACGCGGTCAATCACGTGTTCTTACTTACCCTGGAGTCAGGAACCGTGACTGCTTTCAGTAAGAAACTCACTTTACTCAATTTACTCATTTTACTTATTTCCAGATGAATTAAATCAGGTTTTAGTCTCGGTTTCTACTGCTTAGCACCAGCGTATTTGTGCAAAGAATAAAGGGAACTATGCTTTGTAATAATACCTTCGCTATCCAGGTCATCGCTCTGGCCAAACACACTGTCGATAGAAGAATCTGGGATGAAGGTCCATTCATCAAATTTATCAAGTACATCTTCAGAAAAATCCGCACCACCACCTGAGGCTGCTCCTTCTTCAGCAGATCTTTTCATCTGATATCTGAGCACCATTCTTGCCAGCGTGCATCCTATATCTAAACATACAGAAATATACCAGCAGTTTTGAAATCCACAACTATACACACATAATCATATGCCTTATCAAAGTTTATTCTGTCCTCATGCTTCCGGGGAGCCTTTTATTCTTTTCTCCAAAGTCATTCTGTAATACACAATGACACTGAATAATTACTGAGGCAGTAAATTAAATTTTTTTAAAAAAATCATTCACATTTAACTAAAGCTGTGATGTAAATGACAAAATTGAATCTCTGTGTAAGTAATTTGACTCATGGAAGGACCGGGAGTTGGGTGTGGTGGCTCATGCCTGTAAGCCCAGCACTCTGAGAGGCCGAGGCAGGAGGACTGCAGGTCTGAACTCAGCCTGAGCAACTTGGCAAGATCCTGTCTCAAAAAGTAAAGAAATAAGGATGTAGATCAGTGCAAGAGCTCTGGTTTTAATCCCCAGTACCATGAGACAAAGAAGAAAGGGAGGAAGGGGCGTGGGAGAGGGGTGGGAAAGAACAGGACGAGGAGGGGAGGGGAAAGAAAAGGGGGAGGGAACGAGGGGCGAGGAAGCAGAAGAGGAGAGGAGGGAGAGGGGGGAAAAGCGGGGAGGAAGAGGGAGAAGAAAGGACTAGGCTTTGAAGGCAGTCAGGCCTGTGCTCAGATTGCAGCAATGCCTCCTGCAAGTTACGTAAGCTCTCTAGTATCACTCTCACCTGGAAAGTGAGGGTGACAACTATTCTGCATAAGGTTACAGAAAATACTAAACGAAACAATGTACATAAAGTAGCACAATGCCTAGAACACAGATGTTAAATAAACAATACGGTTATTTGTATAAACTTTCCCAAGTGATTCGTTCTATGGGGAAATGTGACAGAATTTCAAAGTTAAAATTCTTCTTGAAATTCCACTACATTGTAGTGTGTAGAAATAAGTTGGCAGGTTCCTCATTGTTCTAAATAGAGCCTGGAAGTTTTCTCCAAATATCAGTCTCACAGCTCACGTCAAATGTCCCAAATGTGGCTCAGTCACGTAGCCCCTGAAAAATATTTTAAACCTGGGAATCCAAAATGTGCCTTACTCAGATCAGCCACCAAAGGAATTGTGGCCTTACTCACCAGTCAGTAAAGTGGCATTATACTGTTTTTAAAATTAGATAAGTAAGACTCCATAACGGTAAACGCTTCATACAAAACAGAGGGAATATAGCAAAGGGCAAATCTCTACCGGGAACCACAGTCTTCAATATCAGGAGTCAGGTATCAAAGTAAGCAGCTGGCTGGCAAGCAGCTAGTCAAAGTGATAAAATATGGCACTCAATTATGCCTCATCAATTTCCAATGTCCCCAGAGGCAGCCAGGAAATCTAGGTGTGGCTATTTTGCTGACAGTGTTTTCATATTCACATATATATGGCTCCCACATCGCAATTGAGTTTTCAACGCCGTTAGGATGCTAAATTTGTGATTCCGTGATTTATTTAAATAATTCCTTTTGGGAAATACTTGGGGTTATTCCCCTGACCTTTTGTTATTATAAACAATATTCTCCCATGCACCCTGTATAGGTTCCTTATGCATATTGCAAATGTCTGTTTAATGGATTCCTACTGCTATATTGCTGAAATGAATACCCATGTGTTCCCATTTATATGTACTATTTTCATGTACCCATTTATATGTACCAGTTTTAAAAGTTAAAAAATATTTAAAATATGCATGTGTACTGAAAACATTAATGAGCATCACTAGACGTCCTCAAAGGAAGATAATTTCAATTGCTATCAACAATATGGAAATGTTTTTTTGCACATATTCTCTTCAACATCACTTAACTTTTATTTTGTCAGTATTGGGAAGTAGGAAGAAAGTGTTCCAACGGAAGGAGGACAAGAGAGGAGGGAAGAGAAGGGAAGGCAGAGAAAAGAGGGGGAAAAAGTGGAAACAAGCTTGGATAGATGGCAAGGGGAGAAAAGGTGCAAGGAAGAGAGAGGAATGGAAAACAAAGGAGATACACTGTGTACAGGTATAAATTCCCTACGATGACTGTCATCAATATGTATGACAAATATGTACTAATAAAAACATAAAGTTAAAAAATTAAATGTGCAATGATTATATATTATGTGCAAAGCAGCAGTACAGATACTAGAGTTCCATATATATATATATATACATACACATGTGTGTGTGTGTGTATATAATAGCATAATATGATCATTAATAGAATAGTTCAGAAATAGGGTGCTATGACAGCAAGTAGGAGGATTCTTCTGTCAGTATTCCAGGGGGTAGAAAATGTTTTCTTATACAGCGAAGCTTCTGAGGCAGGAAGAATGGCGACTGTTAGATAAAGAGATCTAGGCGTATATATACATACACATGTGTGTGTGTGTGTATATAATAGCATAATATGATCATTAATAGAATAGTTCAGAAATAGGGTGCTATGACAGCAAGTAGGAGGATTCTTCTGTCAGTATTCCAGGGGGTAGAAAATGTTTTCTTATACAGCGAAGCTTCTGAGGCAGGAAGAATGGCGACTGTTAGATAAAGAGATCTAGGCGTTAGGGAGAGAGCCCAACAGAAGCCCAGAAACAGGAGTGTGTGAAGCATGTAAGAAAACGAAGAGATTTCCACCTAGCTGGTATTTGTAGACTTCCCCAGAAGGTGAGAGACTTTGATATGTAGAGCCACCAGTGCGGATGAATAGATTATTTTTCCTAGCAGCACTCAGGTATGCAATGAAAATGAGGGGAAAATTTAATCCAATGGGGAAGGACTGGGGTATTGCCACTCATTGCATTTATATCGGATCCATTTGTGCATCAGAAAAATGATAGTACAGCAAATGTTATTAGCAAGTCCTTCCAGTGAAGAATCACAGAATAGGATGACTATGGCAAAAAAGATAAGTGGAGGAAGAAGTTATCAGGAGGAAGCTAGGCGCTCAGGAGCTAAAACATTTAGAGTAAATGAACAAAGAGAAGCACATCAGTGCAAGGTAACTGGTCATCAATATATATAACATAAATTTGTTAATCTGACAGTACAAAGAAAATATATCCTTAATTGAATTCAAAGTATATATTAACTTGAAAAATGAAAAGTGTAGATGTATTTTTCACATCTTATTAATACAGAGATACACAAAATATTCTTATTGATACTTACTTGTTTGTTTCCTTAAATTAAATGTCTTATCTGGAAATAAAGGACCAAGCCAAGAAGGCTCAATTTTCCCTATACAAAATCCTCCGAGGCAGATGCTGTTGTTGGCCAGATCCAGGGCAAGCCTCCTCAAGAGCAAGCTTATGATCTGGCTGTCACCTTTCTGGATGCTTATGGTTAACGCTTTCCTGACATCTTGCTCCCGGGATCCACTATTGAGTAACAGTTCCACCAATTTGGGACTGCTCTCCTGCTCACACACCTATTTAAAGGGAAAGAAGACAGGATGCATATGAAAAATCTGTAAACTTCCCACCTGGAAGACTCGTCCACTGAACTTGACATGATTGTTCTCTACACATAAAACTTAGGTTGAAACAAGGTAGAAAGCTACGCTTGAAATAGCTTAGGAAAATTAAATTAGTGACCCAAGTATCACAGTAATAGAAAACAAATCTGCCACCTGCATGTCAGTGATTGGGAAAGAAATGTCATTAGGCTTGCTTCTCGCGCCACTATTTGGTGGCCTTTAGCCATGGATTTTCATGCCCATTAATAAGTCTCCATATTCTTCTCCACCACACACACATTTTATAGTATTAAATTCTCAAAATGCCTTGTATGGTTAGCTCAACCTGTTCACTAAATAGTCTTTTAATTACACAGCCTCTTGGTAAATGAAAAAAATGGTCTTGATTGCTTGCTTATTCTGCACTGGCACAAAATAAGTTATGTGCAATGAATCTGTCCACAGTCTTTAAAAAAATATTTATTATTTTCTGCACAGAAATAATCTCTGACAAGCAAGGTGAGTTCCTTTAATGAAATACATAATCCACTAATGTAAATATCTAGGGTTTTTTGTTTTGTTTGTTTTTGTGGTGCTAGGAATCCAACTCAGGCCTCATGCATATCCCACCAAAATACAACCCAACCCTAAAGATCTGATTATGCTTTTAAAATGGAAGGTAACAAGTGCACAAAGTGCAAGGAATGAGAAAATGAATAAGAGGAAAAGTCTGTGTATAGAAAGACTGAGTGAACTGAGAGAAAAGTAGGCAGCATTTCCCATGATGAATGTAGCCCAACTGTATTTGAGTGTTTTTGTTATATTGTGTCCCCATATGAGAACTTGGAAAGAGAAGCTTCTTTCTAATTCTTTGGTTTCCCCAAGTAACATTAATGCAATAATCTGCATACAGAAGATGTACAGTTAAAGCATATTAAATTATTTATTTGTTTGTTTGTTTGTTTGTGGTACCAGGGATCGAACTCGGGACCTTGCCCTCGTGAAGCAGGCAGTGAAACAAATGAGCTAAGTCCCCAGCCCAAGCATATTAAATTATTGAGGGAAGTGATTTAATTAACTGTAATAACAAGCAATTATTTTCAATGTCACCAGCTTAAAATAAATTTGATTAAATTTAAATAATTTGATTATTTTTTGGCTTCAAGGCATAAACATAATAGCACATGCAAATGACTTTCAAGTTCTGCTTTATTTTATGTTGATGACTAATTACTACTAACTTACTTTTACAGTTGACAAATTGGAATCCAAAGGCAAGTATGAAACAAAAGTAAGACCTGAAAGTAAGGAACTCAAAAACATTGTATCTTACTGATTATTTAACAATATATATTAAATTATTATATAACTTCTTTGCTAGAATTATTAACTTTCTAGAAACAGACATAGGACTACCTACATACTATTATAAAGTCTACAATTTATACAACTAAGGAAAATAGGAAATATAGGAAATGCATTTCAGTAAACATTTACTGAATACAACAACAATGAACTAGGTGATCTCAGTAATACAAAGATGAACACTGGTACATTTCCATTTTCATACAACTCATAAAATGTGCAGTAGACATACATAGATTACCATGAACTTACAAAAGAAGTAACTCTTACACTTGTTTGAGGGTCCGGAATTGTGAGGAAGGCTTCATTTAGGAAAGAGAATTTGGATTAGATTTGATGGAAGAGGAGAACAATCAGACTTTTCCTTGCACATTTCAGGAAGAAAAAGAGAAAAGGGAAGAAAAACCAGTTTCATACAGCCTCAGTAGCAGCCCACAGCAAGGGATGTCCATGCAACAACACCACAAAACTGTAGAATGGAGCCTGCACAACTATATACAGCAGCCCTCAAAGAACATCCTAGGCAAAGAGAAAAGACTGAAAATTGATAAAGAGTGCGTGAAGGACAGCTAAAGAACAAGTTGCACAAAGATGTATTCAAGAGAAATATTTGAAGTTACTCCTCCAATTATTAAGGTAGATAAATAAGTAAAATGAAGAATTAACCTGGACAACACATTACCTATTACCTCTGAAATTCTGCAACTCTGAATTCCTACTACAAATCACAAACAGTTGAACAATAAACTGGTAAACTCTGCAGTAAATAACAATAGAATAATAGGAAGTCCTGCATCAACATTTCTCAGAAGATACACAAATGGCAACTAGCACAGGAAAAAAAGGCTCAACATCACTAATTATCAGAGAAATGCACATCAAACTGCAATGAGACACAAATACAAACAAAAATGGGATCAGAGATAGCTGCGCTCCCGTGCTGGATGCAACCTTGTTCATAATAGCCAAGTCAAAGGTAAAGATGGACTGCCTGCCTGATTGGTTTTGGGGTCTGTCTAGGGGATTAGCAAAGCATGTTTGCAGGTGTGTCTGGGCGGATCCTAGAGGCATGATGTGAGTCTATATCTGGTCACTCTCCCCTTTAGCTCTGGCATTATTCCCTGGCTCTGCTTCTCAGCTGCCATATTCTAGCACCTTTGCCCCACCGCACCCCTCCATCATGGTGTTTCTGCCTTGGAGGTAACCAACCATAGACTGAATCCCCTGAAACCATTAGCCAAGTTAAATCTCTTCTCCTTTAAGTTGTGGGTGTTACATATCCTGCCACAGCAATAGGAAGGCTGGCTAATACACTAAGACAAGGAATTGATCTAGGTTCCCATCAACAGATGAATGGGTAAAGAGAATGTGACATATATACACAATGGAATATTATTCAGTTATAAAAATACCAAAACTCTGTCATTTAAAACAACATGAATGAACTTGGAGAACGTGTTAAATAAAATGACACAGACAAAGAAAGATGTTCTTCATCTGTGAAATCTAAAAAAAAAAAATTGATTTTATAGAAGTTAGGAGTAGATAGTGGTCACTAGAGGCTCATGTGGTTAAGAGGAGGAGAGATAGGGAGATGTTGCTCAAGGATATATAATTTCAGTTGAATAGAAAAAAATATTACTTTAAATGCCCAAAATAGGCAAATTCACAGAGACAGAAAGTTAAATTAAATTGGGCAGGGCCAAGAGGGAGAGAAGAGGATAGGGTGTGGGGAAGAGAAATTACGAATGATTACTAATGCTTACGGAGTTTCATTACGGGAAAAAGAGATAGAGAGAGAGACGGAGAAACAGAGACAGAGACAGACAGAGTTCCAACTTGAGATCCTCCTGTCTCAACTTTCTGGGTATGCCACCGCTCCTGGCTGGATCGTACACTTTAAATACCTGAATTATATAATACATGAACTACATTTCAAGAAATATGCAGGAGGAAAAGGAGGTGAAGAGCTATACAATTGCAGGGGCAAATAATAGAGAAAAGATAAAAATTTACCTGGCAAATTAAAGGTGTTCTCTCCTTTGCTTGATTGGCATCAGCTCCCAGTAAAAGCAAGCATTCAACCATGATGCTATTGTTCTGATCACACGCTCTCCTCAGCATCACGCTTTTTAACTCCTCATCCACAGCTAATTTTGCAAAGCACTTGCAACAGAGGCTTAGGAACTAGAAAAAAAAGGAAATGAAGATTAGAGCCAGCTAAATGCATAAACTTTAGCCTACAGGTGAAAAACAGTGTACCTGTCCATCCTTCTGTTCCACGATACCAGAAGACAACTGATGGAATATTACGGAATCAAATGAATGGTGCACCAGCAGCTTGGAAAAAGATACTGACAATTCAAGTATTGCCAGGACTGTCTGAAATCCCTGAAAGTAAAGTCAAAAATACTAATAACATAAACAAGTACGGGCAACAGAGAATAAACAATATAAGAGAGAACTGGTATAGGACATTTAATACCTAATATGTTCACTTCGCTAAAGCAGATGTATTCGTTGAATTGTGCTTGACAACTACGAACCCTGAAACAGTCCTATATGCGCTCTTTCTCTCTTGCTACTACATGCAATGCAGAAAGAACACAGAGAATAAATGCTAGTTTGCAAACCATGTTCAAACCAAGCAGGAAAAAAAAAATGTATCCCTAAAATTTGCCTTACAAGATCCCTATCTGAAGCCATATTTAAATAAGATGAAAGCTAGATCTTAACCAAGATTAAAAACGAGGCCAATAGAGAAACTTCTGTTTTTATTAGAAGATTATAGATAAGGTTCTCTAGGTGGTATCACATTTCCCCAATGTTTTTGTGCTGTATCCTGAAATTTTACCACAGAGATAAATATATACTCCTAGATTTCACTTGCTGAATGCATTTGAGAGAAGGTGCAAAGGTACTCTGAGCTGTACATTAAAGTTCTGTATTAAAAAAATAGCAAAAGTATTTAAAGCCAAACATCCCCTACAGAGGTCTAATCTTAATCTCTTCAGTCACGTGAGGTCTTTAAGATGAGACTTCTGACTGTAGTATTATTACATAGCATGGGCAAACTCACAAAGCAACAGCTTAACTTTTTAATATACAATTAGTGCAACATGTGAATGAAATTGTCTATTGAAATGACTACTTGGCATTATTATGATGCTAAGTTTCTATAAATACTAACATCTGATAAGAAAAGCAGCTCTAATTTATGCAAGTGGGTAAGGGACAGTTGTTCTCACTGCCTCTAAAAGAGGGACCAGCAAATTCCAATGCTGCAGAAGAGCTGGTGCTATACATATATGCAGAAGGCACATCAGACTTGAAACTTTTCAGCACTGATCTGGCCAAAGAAAATAGGTGACCAGCACGATTTGGGCTCTTTGTCATCACTTTATAAATCTACCCTAGGGATCTCAGTTACTGAAAGCTCCTTAGCTGCACAAAAACATTTTCTGTCCTTGGACTGCTTTTAATCAATACTGCCTTGGCTTTGATCAGTATGGTTCTAGGCATTCTATTAAAAAGCAGATTTGTAAAATGTACTGTTGTTCTTAATCTAGGAGTGCCATGTACTCAGCATTTTATACATCTGTGCAGAGTCTTCTATTAGATACCTACTAGATATTTTTATTCCTGGCTAATGGTACTATTTAAGAAAAAAAAATTGTTTGAGTATATTTTACCAAAGATGCAAACTCTATTGCTAAAATACCACAAACCAGGCAGAAATTAATTTTTTAAAGTAATGATTTGTTTTGTTAATCTTTAAAAAACTGAATCAGTTTCTTTTTTTATTTTTAATTTATTAAAATACTGACTTTATTTCACGTGTATATCGTTGTCTCCCTTGTCTCCCCACCATGTCTATGTCTGACCACCATTACTCCTATGTCCTCTCATAACATCCACACACACTTCAAACCAAGCAAAAGGTGGAGTTCCATCTTTAAAATCTAAACAGGCATCTTGGACAAGCCATTCTTGGCAATGGAACCTGGACAACATTTATCAAACACGGTAGAGAAAGTTCTCACTTTGCATTATAAAAAGGACAGCCAGATACAAACTGTTACAGAAATGAAACAAGATGGAAAATTTCAACAAACTGTTTAAACTGTTTACTTAAAGAGACTTTCTCCACTGCCAGAGATCTTGAATGGCCTCCTGGTCAGTCCTCTGGAAGCATTTCTTCACAAAATTGATAAACCAGGCTTCCACTTTGGGAAGAGAATCACCCTTTTCTATACTTGCTTGCATTTCTGTTATAACATCTTCTACAGAACTAGGTCCTTCGGGTGTTTTAGGAGTCTTTTCTTGTTTTTTGAACTTGGTGTTGATGGTTTTGAGTCTTTTCCATTCTGGTTTCATTTTTGTTCATTTCTGGCTGGAGTATATTATATCAATTTCTTCACTGGAGCTTTCTTTTAAATTTTCTTATCATTAAAATCATCGCCGTCGTCATCTTCATCACCATTATCACCAGCAGCAGTAGCAGCAACAACTAGTTTTACTTTTTTCTGTGGAAACTTGCTACCACTTCCAGCGGCAGATCGCTTTCCAAATACACTTAAGAGTTTTACATCCTCTTCCTCCTCCTCATCTCCTTCTGCGTCTTCCTCCACAGCTACTAAGTGCTGTCCACGAATATGCACAGGCCCTGAACCACACTTCAACCTTAAGTGATCTTTGTCGGCCTTTAGTTCACAACCCAAAAGACAGTTCTGGGGCCTCAGGGGGCTCATGCCATTCCCACAGAATCTTCCACAGAGTAGTGGCATACACTTAGGTGGGAGAGGAAGCAGAAGGATGGAATCATGTCAGGGCTCTTTTTTTTTTTTGGTACCAGTGATCGAACTCAGGTCCTTGCACTTTCGAGGCAGATGGCGGAACCACTGAGTTAAATCCCCAGCCCTCTTTTTTTTTAAGAGATGGAGAGGGGGTGCATGGGTCTTACTACCTTGCTCAAGCTGGACACAACTCCTGAACTACATGGTCCTCTCACCTCAGTCTCCCAGGGAGCTGGGAGCACAGGTCTGGGCCCCTGCATCAACGGACAATGTATTTCTCAATCTTCCTTGGATTAACCTTAGGCTACCATGGATCCTTTATAAAGACAGTTATTATATATTATGATTTAAAGTCTGCTTGGTGAAAAATATTTTAAAATATACCTTTGCTTCAGGGAAAAAAAAATCAAGAAGCAAACAAATAGAGGTGAGCAGCCCACATAAAACAGACAGTGGCAAACTTTGTAACAATTATAACTTGCCTTTATCTGAAATCTAAGTAAAAAACCTCAGCTAACTGGAATTGCTTTAGCACATTTTCACTGAAAAGACAAATGGCAAACAAACTGCTGATTTGAGAGGTCTAAAAATGAAACTCCAGATCTTTAGAGAGTCAATCCAATTCTCTTCTCCTTCTATAATGGAAATACTACAAAATGATAAATGGATTTTAATGAACTACAATATCCAAATGCAAAGTGGAAATTACACAAACTACTCTGCACAAGGTCCCAAATCCCCTTCCAGCCAATGCACGTACTTTAATCTGTACTTCAGCAACATCTTTAAATCGTTGTAAGCTGGAAACCAGAATTTTTGCCACCAGATGCCCAGCTCCTATGCATAAATTCTTCTTTGTAATCAAGCATCCTATAAGACTTAAACCCAGACACTGGATTTCTAAAACAATAGGAGAAAAAAACAATGAAATCAAGTGTTTTAAACTTCAAAAAATATATATATATGTGTGTGTGTGTGTGTGTGTGTGAAAACAACAGCTAGTGGCCCACAAAAACCTACCCTGAACCCTGAATACCAACCTTGGTCATCTGGATACATCTGCAGGGTGTGAAGTACAGAATCGATGGCACCATCCAAGGACAACATCTCTACTGCTTCAGGGAAGTGTGTTATAGAAGAAATGACTTTTAACCCACATTTTTGAATCCCAGGGTTTCCAATGAACTAAAAGTCAAAGGAGGTTTAAGAATATTGATGGTTAAAAATGAGATCTTAACATTTATATTGGTTAAAACCAATTACAGATTGATAAAACACAAATTGAGCTATATAAATACAAATCAATATTTTAAATTCTGTCTTTGATGTTGATAATTGCACCAAGAATTAGCATTTTAACATTCATTGAGCACTTGTTCTGTGCCAGCCACTGTACTAAATACACAATTTCTCTTCACAAAATTCTCATGAAATTCATACTGATATCATATGCACTGGAGAAATCACAGCCTCTTCGATAAATGGTGAGGGGAAAACTGGATATCCACATGGGAACCTTGGAACCTGACTAGTATCTCTCACTTTATACAAAATCAATTCAAAATGGATTGCTCCTAATATAACATGAATTACAGAGAGAGGGGTTTGTGCCATACGTATTTCAAACTGCAGGAACAAAACGAAACCAAGTATGTTTAGATCCCAAAGCATATTACTTAACCAGTAAGGCACAATGCTGTCTCTCACCACAGAAATTACTAATTGAATATTTAGTCTAATCCAAGTGCTTACCATGCTTTATTTAATCTATTTCCTTTAAGAGTTGGGCAAGGTTTGCCAAACTTTAAACATGTGGGCACAAGGGCTCAAATCACATAAATAATAAGTTTCAGGCCCAAGCCTTAGCTATAAATGTGTCTGCCTTAAAAGCCCAGGACCTTACTCATAATATCCTCTATCCTATTTAATCTGAATTTCCTCCAGATGATTTTGCATTACTTACGAATTTTCTAATAGAAGCTACTTCCTTTTCTGGTTCATCTTACTCATTGAGAAAAAAATCACAAACACACTTGCTGAAAACTAGAAAACCTTCTCTCTTTTGACATCTGAGAAATATATCTAATCCTTTCTGGCCTTTCCTACATACTCTCTCCAATCATCCACCATAATGTTAATGCCCACCTTTTAGTTTTCCTTTCAAATATTACAGTGGTAACCTCTTTCAAATTTTATCTTTCATTTAGATGAGATTGTATGAACAAAGGTTCCTTGTATCTCCATCCCCAAGATCTGATTTTCCCCATCACAGGTACAAGATAGAACTAAAGTTGAGCATCAATCTAGACCTCAAACTCTGGTGTAGCATCTTTGGCCAAATGTTCTTCCCTCCAATCTTTCTTACTCTGTTCTCAGTAAACAAACTTATATCCCTTCCCAGTCTAGTCCTACAATGTCTCTCAATTGTTGTATTCACCATATTAAAAAAGAAAACTAGGGAGCAGGAAGAAGCATCAGTCTCAACGATGACTAGACATCATTTCTGACAGGATTCTAACAAAATACTGTTCCTCTTATCTCTGTTGGCTTTCTTCTTGTCACTGTTTTTTAACTTACCATCTTTCCCTGAGTAGTAAAAGTACATCAGTTTTAGGGGCCGGGAGTTGCTCAGTGGTTCCTGCCTCACAAATGCAAGGACCCGAGTTGGATCTCCAGTATCAAAAAAAAACAAGCTTTGAAGCCATTAGATTTGGGTTTAAATTCTGCAAATCAGAGGATCACCAAAAAAAAAAAAGAAGAGGAAAATGAAAAATAGTATTTACTTAGAAGTGACTGACAGAGTTACTGAAGGAATATAAACAAAAGCAATGTCACACAATGTGAAGTTAGGGGGATGGTTTGGGGTCCATCTCAGATTCTAGTCTCTAAACATTCCTTGTAAAACACAACTGTTGAGGATGAAATGCAATAACTCCATACTTGCAATTAACACTGAGAGATGACCAGAGGCCAGGCCTGGGGTGAAATACTCCTTGGAAGGGAGATACTTTAGTTACTGAGGGTTTTCCCTTCATCAGTCTTTCCTTCTACTAAGCTACCACTTTTCCCTCATTTATAAGTTATTAATAGAAAAGTCACCGCCCACTACCTCCACATTCTTTCTACCTCTTAATTTCATGTAATCAGACTTCTATTCTAACTACTCTAAATTAAAACCATTCACTGAAAAAAAAAATCCACTAACAACTTAATTACTGCTTTCTTCTCCCTTGAGTTCCCCCGAGACGGCACTTCCCGATTTTCCTCAAACTTTAGAACCATTCAAGTGTTCCTTTCCTTTACAATCTTTTATCTCAGCTCCAGACTCTGTGCAGAGCTCTTTTCTTAAAACTCTTCTATTATTGGGTAGATTTCATACATCAATATGGCTTCAGCACAGCAGTCACACTAAAGAGGCCAAACATAGGTACACTTGCATGTGTCAGAACCCTCTGTAAGCATTTCACATATACCTACAGTACTTATTTAGCTCTCACAAAAACCCCATGATGCAGCTACGTTGTAATTATTTCCACAAGTTGATGATGAAAAAATCAACACCCACTCCAGAGAAAAAATTCAGATTGCCATCCTGAGCTTTCTGTTTTATTCACAGTTTCACAATTCCAGTTTGGTAGGCAAGGTCAGCTTCATGAGTTATGTACCTGTGTGGTCACCAATGGTTCCATGCTAAGAAAGGCCCTGCTCTTTGCTGCTATCACTATCTTAAAATACTTTTTTTTTTTTTTTTTTTTTTGGCACTATTATTTTTTTAAAATTTTTTTTTTTTTTTTTTTTTTAGTGACGGACATTGAACTCTGGTCCTCCTGCTTGCAAGGCAGGCGGCAGCACCACTGAGCTAAATCCCCAGCCCAATTCTTTATGATTTTAAATAAAGGGTCCTATATTTTCATTTTGTACTGAGTTCCAGAAACTATGTAGCCAGCTTTGCTTCTAAACTCAAAATTTACCTTACACTTATTTTTGTGCAAAAATTATATCCAAGTGATATTTATAAAGCACCTATCATGTTTTTAATATCTTTACTTCCAACGAAGTTCTATTCAATTCTCATTCCTTACAATGTGAAGCTCCCTCAACCTTTAGCCTTTTCAGATCTAGTTCAATGCCTGACCAGCAATAGGAAATCTATGACTTGACTATGCACAAAAAGAATTCAAAATTTCAGAGATGACAGTGCCTAAACTAGTTGATATCTGAAAATAAGAGTATTTCATTTTGACAGTGTAGTACATTTTTAAAACCATACATATAAGTATTTATACACACATATCACATATGTGTGATACTTATATGCCTGCAATAGCCTTTCCTTCATTTATCCACTGATTCACCTTGAAATAAGAGATTTGTTGTGTTACTATTCAAGTGATCATTACAATTAATTTATTAGTTTCTACTTAGTGTTTTTCAAGTGGATCTTTTGGATGTGCCAGTGGAAGGATACCTGTAGACATTAACTGGAAACATGCTATGCATCACAACTTTCAAGATTTTTTCAGAAAAACCATAAATAATTGAAATGACTCATCTAATGAGTCTGCTAGACAAAGGGGAAAACTTCCTTACTAGCCTCTTTCCTCAGGGCCAGCTAAGTAGATTAGCCAAAGAGAAAAAATTCCCTGATCATTTGGGAATTTGTTGTTGTTGTTGTTGTTTTTTTTTTATCCTTCCTTCTTTTTCTCTTATATATCACATCGTTGTTCTTTAGGGGAAAAATAAATACTGTATGGACTGGTATCCTACATAGATGAGTGGGCAGCATGTTGATCATTTGTGGCCCCTGTTTTGTTCCATTAAAAGAGCAAAGCAAGCTGGGCATGGTGGTGCACGCCTGTAATCCCAGCACTGGAGAGGCTGAGACAGGAGGATTGCTATGAGTTCGAGACCAGCCTGGGCTACACAGTGAGTTCCAGGTCAGTCTCAATTACATAATGAGACCCTGTCTCAAAAAACCAAAAAAAAAAAAAAGAGCAAGGCAAAAGAGATTCAACAACAAATGTCTTATATCAACAAAGAGAGCCAAAACAATATAACAGAATATATATACATATATATGAAATACTTTAAATATATGAATGGACAATTCAAGAAAACCTGGAAATATATTCTATAAAGTATACATATTATAGAAAGAGTGCATATTCCATATATATATA